CTCACACATGCCAGGCCAGTGCTCTACCACTGAGCCATGACCCAAGACCATATTCATATATATTAACAAAACTACTCCTTTGAAGTCTCTATGTGCAGCATCAATAGCTGCATCTTAGGAGTTGCAAAAAAAGTTCAGATGAATTTTGTGTGCAAAGGATCTGAGTTGGTAAAGTCTGTTAAGTTCTAGGGACTGAAAAATAGCAAGGGTGGATACAGAAAGAGCCCATAGGACCCGGTTGCACAGGGTTTGTGGGCTGCATCTTAAGTTCTTGTTTTTAGCAGTGGTTAGGGATCAAACCCAGGGACTCAAGCATGCTGGGCAAGAACTTAGTACAACTGTAGCCCTGAATCTAAGATTTTTGAAGTTCATGTCATTAAAGAATCCTAAATAAGTGGCAGACAAAATTGGAGTAGTTTTTAAAAATATGCCCCCAATTTCCTAGTGAACGTGACCTGAAGTGAAAGTACAGGCAAAGGAAGGCTGGACTTTGGAGTGGTAACACAAGGCCTGGGAGAAGTGGATAGATTTGCAAGGTACTGAGGAGGTAAATCAACAGGGCATGCGTTTAACTCCAGGTGAAGAGAGGAAGAGGGAGAAGTGTTTGTAAATGCAACCATCTCCCCTCTGGCCTGTGATCCTCATCACCTGAGCAGATTAGTGCAGAGTGCTGATGTTGAGGCATCATGCTGAGTCATGTTCTATTAAAACAGTGGGTCCTAAACCGAAGTTGAGTTAAACAGAGGCTTTCCTTAATCATTTTTCAGAATGTAATGATGTCTGCATTAAAAAACTGGGCTCACTCATTTGGCAAGATCTACAGCACAAGCCTATGGTAAGTTACCTAGTGTGTTGTACTTTCTGCTCACTAGTCCTGACTGGAAGAAGCCTTGCTCCTGCTTGAGGGCCTGTGAAATCAAATCTCTGTCAGCTCACAGCCACTCTCAAAGTCAGTACATTCTGAAGTCTTCATGATCTGCATCTACTGCATTGACCTGGAATGATGCCCAGCCCAGAGTGGGACTGCTGTGGTTGGGAATGAGTTTGGGGACAGAGGCTGTAAGTGAAGCTTTATTAGCTTCTAATAAGTTCAGGTATATACAGTTTGTATGAGTCTATGTTACATTATTTCACTTAATTCTATTCATACTGCGTACACTCCTGGACATGAAGCAGCAGATTCTGCTCTTATTACTCCACAGTGGAAAAAAAGGATGCTGACAGGAGCCATTCCTTCTCCAAAGACATTCATGGGGGCTGCCTGCCCCCTTTCCCAAACACTGAAGCCCTCCCACAGAAAATCTGTGCCTCCCACCTGCTCTGGGCACTTGCTGACAGAATCTGGGTGGTGGTAGCAGCAGCAGCTGCTTCCCAAGTCTTTCTCCTGAGTAGAATAGAATACTTGTGGGAGGGCCAAAAAGAAGCAAGGGCTCCCACTTACTAGCAGAGGCAAACTGATAACCTGATCCTTAGAGCCTGACAGGAATCCTCTGCCCGTGAGTGGCCCGGATTCTTTTGGGCCAAGTGGCCTGGATTCATGGGGCACTGGTGTGCATCTTGTTCAGACAACTTGTTCATAACATAACCAGCCAGTTATTGCAGTTGGTGCAGAAGTCAGTGAACTTCTTCAGTAGCTTATCAGCAAACTTCTTGGTCCCTGTGGGGCAAAAACAATTTGTCTTGGTGAGCATCGTTCTGTAGTTCCAGCTGTAACTGACCTATCCGCATGGAACATGTTCTGGTTGGTGCAGATGGTGAAGTCCCACCACTGCAGCTCAACCAAGCAACCTACGTTTGGAGTCGGGCAGCTGCAGAAACGGTGTTCCTAAAGGGAAAGGACACCAGGAGGGCACCTGCAGATGGCTGAGGTGCTTCTTCCACCACAGAATTGGTGTAGGGGAAGAGACTTCTGTGAAGAGACCCAGGCACCCAAGGGCTCATGCACCTGCCTCAGGGTCCCACCTAATCAACTTTTTATCCATAATTCCTCACCTGTAACATGGGTGTCCTAAGGCTTGTTCTCAGCAGAAAGTTAAAAGCAGAGGTAGAATATTTATCTTGTCCTAAAGGAAGGACAGAAAAGCACATATTATAGGCTAATCAGACTCTCTGCCTGAGATAAAGGAATCTGGAATGATCTCATTTAAGATGACTCTGCAGACTGCTTATTTTTGTCCTCTACCCTCTCTAACCTTTGTGTCTTCTGACACTGTGATTCTCCTGCTCACCACCTTTCATCTCCCAGGTCCTCCGTGTCACTTCAGTGAATGAAAGCCCTCCTACCTACTCTATTCTTCATCTAGCCAAATCTCTCTTGCCATATTCCCCAGATGCCCCAGCAGCACTCCCTACTGTGCATTCTCCCCTGTGTCACCCCGGGCCTTCCCTCTGCCTCTTGCTGGAATCTATCCACCCACATACATTCCTCATCTTAATTTACCTAACTACACCTCTCTCCCTTTTCCCACTGTTCTCAGGCTAACGTGTAGAAGTTTCTCAATAAAGGCCTTGAACTGAAATGAAATGAAGTATCTTAATTGAAATCCTTTCTTTAAAAGTGAGGAAGAACAACTTGAGGCTATCAGTTTTGCTGTGTTCTGGAAATGGGCAAGAGGAGCCATTATTCATCTGTGACTTGTTCTGTTCTCCTGCTCATCTATGGCTTGTACTATTCCTGGTTCTTCTATTTCCATAAAGCACATTTATTATAGACATACCTGCTAAGAGCTGTAAAAAGGACGTGCTAACAGATGTGGCTCCTGCCCTCTAAGTCTGAGGAGTTTATGTAACAAAGGCAGTGATGTAGGCAGAGCTAAAGGAGGTAAACTGCCTGTCTCCTACCCTGGGCTGAGCTCCCCAAGAGGGGGTGTGTTGTAGCCTCTCTCCAAGCTGCTGGCATTACTCTGATATTCTATAAGAATTTACCAAAGAACACATGAAGTCAAATGTGCAAATTAAATGGATAGGCAAATGTGCACTGCAAACTTCTTCATCTACAAGCTGCTTCCATTATTATAGGAATGGTCTGGATTTTGTCTCTGCTTTCTGTCTACTTTCCAGTCAAGCTTACTGATTTACTCAGCATGGATCAGCCTCACCAGGGTATTCTTCCCTCATTTCTTTGTTAGATTATCAGGAACATCTTTTATTTTAAACAAACAAACAACAACATAATTTAATCACATTATTTTCTCCCTTTCTCAAATTGCATTTGAGAAAAATGCAATTCAGGATTGCAATGAAGGCCAGGGGCTCCTGCCAGGGAAGAGGCTATAGCAATCAAACATAACTACCCAGATGAAGATGAAGGAGCTGAGAGTCACAGCAGAGGGGATCCAGGGAAGACGGACACTTCTACTTTGTCTGTGGTGGACCTGTGTATGAGGAGCTTATATAAGGAAGTCAGTGATGTAGGCAGTCTACATCCTCTGACTTCCTTATATAAGCTCCTCATACACAGGTCCACCACAGACAAAGTAGAAGTGGATGGGCTAATGGGTCATTTCAGAGCCACATTCCCACTAAGAGTTCCACTCCATGCAAAACTGGCAAGAAAAACAGTTACTCTGGGCAAGGCACTGTGCTAAGCATTGTAGAATGAAACAAACAAACAAAAAAAAAATGAGAAAAATGTATCTCTTTGCCCTCTAGGAGCTTTAAGACAGTGTAATAGATTAACAGAATGCCCGGGAGAAATGGAAGCAGGAATGCAGAGGGGAAGAACCTGGTGAGGGAAGATTCTGACAGGTGTTGAAGGAACAGGGGCTCCGTTTACAAGGTGCAAGGTGACACCTAGTAGAGTGGTACAGTAATAAAAGGAACCTGGAAGACACATGGGGAAATCAGAGGTGGGACAATGAAGATGAAGAATAAAGGGCAACAATTTAGAGAAAATATGACCAGAATCTGGGCTGAGGGAGACCCAGAAGAGAATATTGTGAAGATGGGGGGGGGAGGCAGATTTGGCACACAGAGGTCACATCTTAAAGATATCGTCAGTGTAGTACAATGACTGCCTGATGAGGTACCAGTCAAGCTGCTTACAAACTCTTCAATGAGCTGAGGTCTTCCTAATGACTGATGTTCTCTGCGGTCTCACAGGTGGGCCCAATAATTTTGTTCAGGGAGTGAAAATGAAGGCTCTGAATTCCAGAACTTGCTATGGAACTTCTACAGCTCAAGCAGATGCTGGTGGAAAGGAGGATGGGCCAGGCCTGTCTGCTTCCCAATTCAAGTTCCTTTTCCACTGACCACTATGCTCCTTCTGCTCTGCCCCAAATCTATATCCTCTATTATGGGAAGGAGGAAGTCAGGGAAACATTCATCCCACAGTCTTTTCTAAGCACCTGAACTAGGTCTAGACATTCTAGTCAGAATAAGGTCTAAAGCATGCCAGAGCCAAGGTTTAGACTGAGGCTGAGGCTGAAGAGTCTGGATTTCATTGAGTGGCTGTATGAGTACGGGGGTGTGGGTTAGGGGTGACAACAGTTGAAGATATCTGAACAAGATGATATGACATTGATGAAGTTATAGCAAGAAGGCTACTAAAGCAAGAATAGGAGGCTTTGTTTTCACCATGATTAATATGAAGTAGCAACTAGATACTGACTTGGTGAAACCTGGAGACAGTGTGGTTTGCTGGTCTGGTCTGTGGGAGAAAGCTGAGTTTAGGGAAGGCTTTCCCTGGGACACACATTAGGTGTCAAGAAGTAACTTCAAGTTCATCTATTGCTTTTTAACCGTTCAGTGTCTTTTCAATATGGTTGAAGGTCTCATGATAAAATTTATAAATTTTCATTTCACATTATCTTCTGGATAGTTTGGCTCAGGCTCTTGTTGGAGGCTAAGGAGAGAGCTCTAAAATCTTCCCTCAATGAGAAGAAGGCAATGAGGTCTGAAAAACAACTACAGAATCTGGCAGAAACCAAGGCAAAGAATCCTGTTGGAGATAAGCAGCTAATTTGTCATCAGTGGAAGAGATCCTTTCCCCAGGAACAAAACAAATAGGGTTTCACTTTGTTAGCAGCTATTCCTATCCAATAAACAATGATTCCTTCCTACTATTACTTCTTGCTAACAAATCTGTGTGCAATGACTTCCTGAAAAAAGGTACATTTCAATCCCAAAGTTTCTGATTCTAAGCCTGAAAGGAAAAAAAAAATATTCTTGTGATCATAAGGTTTGTAATTCTGCCTGAAACTGGGCTTCTGCACCCCTCACTAATCTTGGCAATTATTTCTCACTGAGCCTATACTCTGCTTTCCCACATTACCTGCTTGGGGAAAGAGAAGCCTCCATCCCAAGGTCATTGAAAGGACAGAAGTGTGTTCATCGTCCCTTCCCTTAAGCTATAGCAGGGTCTAGATATGCAATGAGTCCTCAAGAGCCAATGTGAGCTGCCAGAATTCAATATAAGACTAACTGTAATGTCATTCTATGCCAAAAACTGAAAGGTGCATATTGAAGTACAAATACAAACCTTAAATGCTTCTAAGGAACAACAACAATAACAACTATGCATGTTTTTATATTATCAATCTTTCATTTCCCTATAGGGAAAAATATTATAAGCTTCACTTTAGGGTTAGGGAAATTGAAACAATTTACTTGTTTCAATTTCAAATTGAATTTACTTGTTTCAAATTCAATTTCAAAATGAATTTTTGACAAGTAAACTTTTTTGGGAGGGAACAGAGCATGCTGGTCTCCTCCCATCACCCATTGCATTGTTCTGTCTTGCTCCTTCTGCAAGGCAGCTGCCATGGACTAAGGGCTAAGTGATGTGAGAAGGCTGAGCAGGCTGTCACATAGCAACAGGCAGCAGAGCCAGGGCTGCTTTGGGATGGAGATGCTATGGGCTGGGATGGTTATAGCACAGACATCCCAAAGACTAGGGATTCCTCTGGGGGCTCTATTACTCTACCATATTTGGAATTTTCCATCTAAAATAGATTTGAAGATTCTGGACATGTAAAGAATAAAAGGAAAAGGGCTTTAGATTTAATAGAAAATCACATACACACAGAACACAAACCTGTCAGATTTTTAAAATTCTGAATTCACTGTTACAGGAAACAGAGAGAATTAGAGTTATAGAAGCAAGAAAATTGATTTTTAGATTTGAGTTCTTATTCCTTTAAACTAGGACTCCTTTCTTCAGCTGTAACCATAGCAACTAACAGAGGATTCTGATCTTAAAGACTGGGTTACAACTGGCAGGAAAAAACATCAACTTGCACAAAAATGTCCTCTATTGCCAGCCCTGTGAGCAATTCTGTGCTGTTACACTGAGTGTGGAAAGCTCCAGGGGTCTATAGGGGGATGAAGCTCCAGGGTCTACAGGGGGAAGATCCTTTGTCCCCTAATATATTAATAACATTACAAGGAGCTGCCTGGCTTAAAATTGTCTAACAGGAACACAATCATCCTGCATTTCAGGACTGCATAAATGGTTTTCTCTCAGCCATGTTGTGAAGCTAAATGAGAATTTGGGTGTGATGGAAATTCTATAAACCCTACGTATCTCAGAATTCATGGTCTCTGGCAGGGAGGGGTCTGTGGGGCTCACCTGGAATACAAAAATGTCTTCCAAATTGTAAACAAAGAATACACACAGATGGGCCTTTGGAAGTAAAGCTGTTTGCTCCTATAGGGCAGCCTGTCTCATGAAAAGTACAGGGATACTTAACTTGGTCTGCACCACCTGGCAAGACCTCTTCATTCTCTGGGCTGGTTTTCTGCTACCAGTCATGTCAGAGACTTACATGGGCACAGGAAGAAAGCATATCCCTTACATCAAAAGTTACCTATTTCAAATTTATAATTTTTATACCTGAGGGCTTCTGATGTATTAGCATCAACTCTCACTTTTCATTCTGAAAAATATAATCTATGAACTCATTGGAGGATTTTTAGGAGCTATATATATGCTCACCTGCACAGAATGCATGGATATAAAAAGTGATGTGCTGTGTAAAGCAGAGCTCCTCCTGTGATCTGTCCTAAACCTGGTGTCCTAGGGCTGAATGATAGGTTGGGATGGGCCCCTTGTGCCACCTTTCTG